GAGCAAGAGGGACCAGATTTAATATTTTTTTAAATTTCCAGGTTCTCAAAGTTATTCAGAAGGAATTTATTAGAAGTCATATGCAAAATGTCGAAGCCAATGCTAGAATCAAAATCGTGACCAGTGTCTAACAAATGAGCAGTAAAGTGAGAAAAACCAGTAGTGCTAGTGTTAAGACAGCGTGTGTGCTCTTTCAGGCGTATTTTAAAATTACGAAAGGTCCTTCCCACATATGAGCATGGACAGTTTAAACAAGTTAGTTTGTAAACACCAGACTGATCCATAGGATCAATTTTATCCTTATTCCTAACAAAGAGGCCACTGATGGAGTTGGACGTTCTAAAGCTAATTCTGAAGGAATCTTTGAACAAGTTGGCTATACGATATGAGAATTTTCCAATAAAAGTAAGTGAAACATACTTACGATTATCTGCTTCAATATTGGGATGGGGGTTAATTATGTAACTATTGTTCTGATTACGTTTATTTTGTTTTCTATGAAGCATTTTATCTATTAAGTTCTGATCATAATTGTGACTATTAGCAATTTGTTTGATAACATTGAGTTCTTTATTAAAGTTATCTACTGATAGAGGTACTTGGAACGTCTTCTGAAAGTACCTCTATCAGTAGATAACTTTAATAAAGAACTCAATGTTATCAAACAAATTGCTAATAGTCACAATTATGATCAGAACTTAATAGATAAAATGCTTCATAGAAAACAGAATAAACGTAATCAGAACAATAGTTACATAATTAACCCCCATACCAATATTGAAGCAGATAATCGTAAGTATGTTTCACTTACTTTTATTGGAAAATTCTCATATCGTATAGCCAACTTGTTCAAAGATTTCTTCAGAATTAGCTTTAGAACGTCCAACTCCATCAGTGGCCTCTTTGTTAGGAATAAGGATAAAATTGATCCTATGGATCAGTCTGGTGTTTACAAACTAACTTGTTTAAACTGTCCATGCTCATATGTGGAAAGGACATTTCGTAATTTTAAAATACGCTGTCTTAACACTAACACTACTGGTTTTTCTCACTTTACTGCTCATTTGTTAGACACTGGTCACGATTTTGATTCTAGCATTGGCTTCGACATTTTGCATATGACTTCTAATAAATTCCTTCTGAATTACTTTGAGAACCTGGAAATTTTAAAAAATATTAAATCTGGTCCCTCTTGCTCTCTGAATGCACAAATTCAATTTATTAGAACCCCAACGTTTTCTGCTCTTATTTAAATTAATTTCTGACCTGTACCCCCACTCATTTGATCTTCAATCAGTTACTTACCACAAATTAATGAACTCTGTCCCAATTTAAATTTTCTTCTCTGTTTCCATTAATTTTTGCCCACTCGCATCTTTCATATTAAATGTTTCCTTTAATTGGCTTATTCAAATTCTCCCACTTGGTTGTCATACGCCAAAATTTGACTTTTCTTTTTTGACATTCGTACTTGTCAACTTAGTTTCCGTTTTCCTGTAACAGTAATTTTTCTTTTGATTATCTGCTTCAATTTTCACTTTTACATATGAATTTTCATATTTTCTTGTTTAGTGTTCTATTTTTCTTATTAGTATATTTTTTACTTTCTCATTTCTAATTTAATATTCTTACTATCAATAAATTGTGCCACCGTCACCTATACTCACTTTCAGTAAATAACACCTTTTTAGTACACTATTTATCCGCTAAATTTAAAATTTACACTTAACTGCACTAATTCGTTAAAATCTAGATAGATGTCATGGGAGTCTGATAATCTCATTTTTACTTTTCATTTGTAATTAACGTTATATTCTTTAAAAATTTTTAACTGTTTGTGCTTGTAAAAACTATTTTGTGTTTAGTTAATAATTGTCTTACATGTGTTTTAATTATTAATTTATTCAATCAGACATCTCGCGGTTTAACCTAACCTAAACATATTTTTAAAAAATACTATTGTAGGTATTACATGACTTTTTTAACTCGTTTGTTAAACTTTATGTAGCACTTCCTTTATGGAAATAGTCAAGGTGAGTCAAGGTCATTGTTTAATTTTCTTTTGTGTTATTTCTGTTATTTTGTATATGTTAATGTCCGTTCATACTTTTATAATTGTTTTTATTACAACTGACTCCTTGACATTCCGTTTAGGTGTGCTTGATGATGAAGTAATAGCTTCGAAACCGGTCGCCAATTAAAATTGACTTGTGAGAAATAAAGGACCTTTTCTTTAACCCCTTATACATAATTATCTTTCTTTCAGGTTCTAAGCCAATGTTTTGAGTCTTATTCCAAAAGTGTTCAAACTGTTCTTGTTTTTTATTCATTTTATTTTTAAAATCATCAATTTGCTTAATGCAAAAGCCAATGTCATTTGACTATGTCTGTAAAATGTCGAATAAAATGTCAGTAAAAGGTAAAATATCTGCAAAAATGTTGAGCAAAAAATTGAAATCAAAGTTTTGTTTAAGCCAATTCAAATACCCTTTAGCGGCAGTAACAGTTTCAGCATCCCATGTTTCTTTATTATCCCAAACGTCTTGAAAAAAGTGTATAAAAAATTACGGCATTGAAACACTTTAAATTTAAATTTAAAAATTAAATTAGAATAATTATAATGACGGATATTGCATATCCATTGCAATTGTTATTCCTATTTTGTCTGTTTGTTTCTGTTTGTTTTTTCTGCTGTTTAGTTATTTTTTATAATATGTTTAGTATTTAAGTTACACGCTTTGTCTATAAAATTTTTGTAAATTTTTTTACGACAATAAAGCATATCTCTCTCTCTCTCTCTCTGGGCAACAAGCTTAGAACCACATTCTAAACTTAAAATAATGTCACAATCAATTTTAAACAGTGCATCAGCAGTTCGTTCGCTAGTGACGTCCAAAAATCCTAGGAATCGCTTTTGAGGTATGCCATCCAATACATATCGCACAACAATGAATAATTGACTTAAGTTTGCTACATCTGTGGTTTCATCAAGCGCAATTGATACGAAAGGTGCTTTTTTAATTTCACTTTTAATGTGATCCATCACAACGGCAGTGCATTTAATTAAATCATTTTGAAGTCTGTTTGAGGTACCTCGGAAAGTCGTCGAATCAATAAAATAATTTTTTAGGGTATCGTCGTATTTTGCTAAAAAAACTTAGAAGGTCCATGTAATTTTGTCGATTGGCGGATCCACTTGCTTCATTCTGACCCGTAAAACTGAATTCATGTTCTCCCAGGAAACAAGCATCTATTAATCGTTGTAAGACGTCCCTATTTTTTACTCTTTCATTGCGAATTTTGTTGCTGATTTTTAAATGATTTTCCAAACTATGTTCAATGCGATAGGTCTCGAATGTTTTTTCTTTAATTGTAGCACTTATATGAGATTTGCTATTTACATGTCGTTTTACACTTTTGTAAAAATTATTCAAGTCTGTAATACCGACTGAGTTCCAATGTGTTTTTTCGGCTATATTAAAAAGTAGGCAAGGCCAGCAAAACAATTTCTTTAAAGTTTTGCAACCGGTTAACCATTCATACTTTTCATAGAACCGTACGTGAAAATGCCTGGTAAATTTCTTTGCTGACTTTTCTACTTTCGTCTCTAAATTGATAGGATCCTTTAGTCTACTAGAATTAATAATGTCCATTAATTTATAATATGGTTTGTTTATATTTTAATGACTATTTATTTATTTGTAATTTGTAGAATATTTGTACAATATTGTGTTTGTCAATAAGTATTTTAACTTGGACAATAAACATATATTCTCTCTCTCTCTTCAAAATTTCTACTTGATAATCCTTTTTTCAATAAAGAGCACACAATACAGACACAATTTACCACATTGTTATTGTTCACAGGCACAGTGCATAGTTCCTCCATTTTACAAAAAGAAAAACAACTACGAAAAATAAACCGAAATCTATCTACGATTTTCCTCACACGTAAGGCGACGTAAAAATTGCTGCCTCTCGAACGTATTTCGCGTGCCCAAACAGACTTGACTACTCGCGGCAAAGCGTGATCAATAACACGAAGCGAAATCAATTGGAAGGTGAGCCGGCTTTGTCAAGATGCGCTTCCACCGACGGACTCGAAGTGGTTTGTGCGTTTACACAATTAATTTTCTTATAAGTGGTGCGTACGTTTACACATTACACCAATGAATTGCTAGTACATTTACGAAGTTTACGTAATGTTTCAGAGAAAATATAGTACCTAATTTATTATTAATTTCTAACATTGTAAACTGAAAAATATCTACTTTTAAATCTCAAAATGTAGGGAAGCGGTGCTTCCCCCGCTTCCATGGACCGCACGCTCCTGATGTTTCTAGGAGCAGTTTCTAACGTGCACGCTGAAAATGGAAAACAAGCATATAATGTGTTGCGAAAGTGCAGTCATTGTGTAGAACAAATGCATTAACTGAAAGTTTACATGAACCTGTGTTAATTAATCTCGGCATTGATGGCAGAGATGACAATAATACGGGTTACTAAATTATCGTCGCGTTCATGTCCCTTGCGCTCATATCATTTTGTTGCCGTTAGTAAATTCCATTTATACAAAATAGTAGTTTGTGCAACGAGGGTGGATATGATGGCCATATCGCACGAAGACGAAATTTGGGCACATTTTTGTCACCAGTTGGCGTTAAAGTCATGACGCACGGTCTCTATATAGTTATTTCCTAAAATATATACACCTCTAGGTATATTGTGACATATTATTTTCAATATTACTGCACTCTTTTTGCGCTTTTAATATAGTATGGATGATGGAAAAAATTAAAAACAAAAACAGAAACAAAAAAGCAACAGATGACTTTCTTGTTTCATGTCAGCGTAACCTAGATATTTCGATAAAATTTTCATCCAAAATGATTTAGCATTTCTTATTTCAACATCCACGAGAAACCCTTTTTCCCGACTTACACTTTCGGTTGTTTTGCCTTCCTTTAAAGGTATAAAAAAACTTTATTGTATTGTAGAACGCCTTCGCCGCATCCATCAAACCGAAAAAGGATATAAAGTAGCCTTCCTAAAATTTCCTATTTCCCGACCCGCCCGAATTTCCACGAGTTTCCCCTGCCGATGAACTACATAAACAGCCACTCTGCGGCCGGAAAGGCAGTATTTCCCGGAGTTCTCCCGACTTGCGTTTACCCCAAAAACGGTGATGGTTTTCCCTCGAACAACGTCCACGCCTTTCGTAAATTATTTTCCGAGAAAATTCCATAATAAAAGAGACATTTTTTAGGTATGTATACGTTTACGTTTTATTAGAAAATTTACTAATAAAGGGGTGTTCCGCAAGGTTCCGTTCTTGTGTACTGGTTTATAATATTTTATTAATCATTTTGGACATTACATGGAATGTATAGGAAAAGTCATACATTATTAAATAAAAAAAAGATAAAGATGCAAAATGCAATTACCTATTACAATACAAAAGCAGCATTGAATGACTTTACAGCAACAATTTAAAAACTTAATAAGAATATTTATAAAAGATGTCAGAAATTAGCAGTTTAAAATAAAATGATTAAAAATAATATTATATGATATCCAGGAGGTATTCTTGTACAGAAAAACACTTCTTTAATAGTACATTTATTTTTTACTTTTTTTGAATATGTTTAAGAACTTTACTTCTTTAATACCTTAGGGTAGGTGATTTTATAATCCCATATATCTAAAACTATTTGCAAATTTAGCTGTTTTATGTTGAAAACACGTAAATAATAATTCCCACTAAACATAGAAACTTACAAACACTTCCTGCAAGTTTATTTTCGCCTTGCAAATAAACCTTATTTCGTAAGTATATGGAAAATTTATTATGAGTTTACAAATTTTTATTTATAATCCGAGGTTTTTAAGAGAAAATTCATATTTTTAAACTTGAAGCAATCTTTTTGTTGTATTTTTGCAAAATAAAATTGGCAGACAATTTTCTTTCATAAATTAATTTTTGAAAACTTTATATAAGTTCAATAACATAAATTTATATCCAATTTAAAAATAAAAAGTTGCAGACACTTGCCGCAAGTTTATTTTCGGCTTACAAATAACTTATTTTGATAAGTATGTGGAAAATTTATTATAATTTTGTAAATTTTAGTTTATGTTCGAGAGTTTTTAGTATGTTCTTAAACAGTGTTGCCAGTGCTGACAGAAAACCAAATTCTTCGAATTCACTCGAGATTCTCCGCTCAGGACAATGACTAGAAGCATTTATAATTCTTTCCCCATCACGCATTGAGCAAAAAGACCCTCTTGAAATCTAGTTCTTATGCTAGATCAGCTAGATACTAATGCGCAATGCGCAGTCAGTGGGGCATACTTTTGAAGATTGGTGCAGGACCAAAAATAGTTTTAAACCCACGACAATTTATTTCAACTCAACTTTTAACAATAACTATGCAACTGATAACATTAACATGTAACGTCTATCATACAACTCCAAACTGACATCAGGATCACCCTTATACAGGGTGTCTGTAAAAGGTCTTTACAAAAACATACCACATATTCCTTAGACCAAAATAAGTCGATTTAAGTAAAATTACCTTGGTACAAAGTTGCTACGTTTGGGCTCCAGAGGGCCTTGAAGTTACAATTTATAAATTTGGTATATTGGTAGAGTTTTATGTGATAAAAAAAATGGTACTAAAATTTTGTCCGATAATGATACATAAGCGTAGAACTTGATTTTTTAAATAATTGCACCTTTAAAAATTCTACGCCAATGAAAGAAAAGGAGTTTAAGTATGAAATTTAGATTGCGCAACTCATTTACTTTAAAAAAGGTACTCTTGATAAGAATCGATTACTCTCATGGTTTTCGCTAAATTTCTGTTTTAATAATTTAGAGTGTATAGGTTCCACAAAAATATTTATTTACAACATAATCAAAATAGAGATTTTACAAAAATTGTTCAAAATATTCACCATTTTCACGCATACAAAGATTTATACGTCAAAGAAAATTAAAATGTATCCTTTCCATAACTTCTTCATTACCTCTAAGATTCTTTATTGCATCTTGAATACGTTGCCAGAGTTGTTCCTCATTTTCTACAGGTTCCCTGTAAACTGTGGATTTCAGATGTCCCCATAAAAAGTAATCCATCGGTGTTAGGTCTGGGGAACGTGGTGGCCAGTTTACAGGTGCGTCATTACCTCTGCCTATTCATTTGTGTGGATATTGTTCATTCAAGTGGTTTCATAACGTTTAAAGAAAAATGTGGTGGAGCTCCATCTTGCATAAACCACATATCTCTCAACGAAGTTGGTAGAGGTAAATCTTCTATCTATATATAAATTTTCTCCAGTTAATCTTCGTGGAAGTATGACAGGACCAACAATGAAATTACCAATTATTCCAGCCCACACATTAATTTTTGAATTCGTGCTGAAAATGGTTTACCTTTATTGCATGCGAATTTTCAACGGCATAAACATGTTCATTATGGGTATTAGTTATACCTCTTCTTGTAAAACCTGCTTCATCGGTAAAGAGAACATTCTTGACAAAGTTTGGATCTCTTTCTCTTTGCATATTAACAAATCGACAAAAACCCAAACGAATTTGAGGATCATGGACTAATAATTCTTGTACTGGCTTCTTATGGTATGGATATACCAATTGTTCTCTAAGCACTTTATGAACGACATCTTTACTTACTCCTAGTTCCCTTCCAATTCGTCTAGTGCTTAATTCTGGATCTTCTTCAACACGTTATAAAATGTCTTCTTTAACTTCAGGAATCCTTACAAAACGTTCTCTTCCATTATCAACAGTGTTGGGAGCAAAGGAACTGATCTCCCGAAGACGTCTCTCAACAGCAGCAAAAGTTGGGTGGCTAGGTACACGACAATTTGGAAACCTTTCAGAGTACACCCTGACACTCTCTCGAGCATTTCCTTCACAAAATCCTAATGTCAGTAACATATCGGTATATTCTGCATTGGTATATTGTACAGCCATATTAATAAACCACGTATTTGTTTTTTTAATTATTGAGTCAGATAGAACACTTTCAATCGTTAACAAGAGATTAGGTGTTAAAACGACAATATTTTTATTTAGACGAAACTATGGAAACCAACAATAAATGTTTTTTGTATACGTATTGCAGGCAAATAATTAATATTCCTCAAAAAATCGTACATGGCAAGAATCGAGTATTTTTGTTAAAAGTCTCGATTAGAGGTGTTGAAGAAGATATGAAAAAAGTACATTTTTATGTTTTTCATCGTATAAAATTTTGTCCGATAATCATACAAAGGCGTAGAACTTGATTTTTTAAATAATTGCACCTTTAAAAATTCTACGCCAGTGGCAAAAAAGGGGTTTGAGTATAAAATTTGGATTGGGTACTCATTTACTACAAAAAAGTACCCTTGATAACACTTTTGGGACATATGAACAAGGATTTTTAGAATTCAAATCGACGATCTTTTTAGGATATTTGGTCCTGTAAAAATTAAAAAATATGTAGAAATATTATGTTTTAACTGTTTTATGTTACAAAATTTAACTGTTTATGTTTAATTATGACGTTCTGTCTTTCGCGGTTACCCTTGTATTATTATATATGTTTTTTGTACCTTATTTTTATTACTTTACAACGTATATAGACCTAGATCCTTTTAACTGCCTAAAATATACACTCTTCTAGACGTATCTTGACTAAAAACTCAATTTACGTGAAAAACGACTTATGACCTTCTAAGCGCCGGCCACAGAATTGTTTATGTTCTAAAATTACTAAAATGCAAATTTCGTCAAAACCATGAGAGTAATCGAGTCTTATCAGGAGTACCTTTTTTAAAGTAAATGAGTTGCGCAATCTAAATTTCATACTCAAACTCCTTTTCTTCCATTGGCGTAGAATTTTTAAAGGTGCAATTATTTAAAAAATCAAGTTCTACGCCTATGTATTATTATCGGACAAAATGTTAATACCATTTTTTTTCCACTTAAAACTCTACCAATATACCAAATTTCAGCAAAATCGCATATGCCGTTTTAAATTTATATGAGAAAAACGATTTATAAATTGTAATTTCAAGGCCCTGTGGAGCCCAAACGTAGCAACTTTGTACAAAGGTAATTTTACTTAAATCGACTTATTTTGGTCTAAGGAATATGTGGTATGTTTTTGTATAGACCTTTTACAGACACCCTGTATAGCTTGCTTGAGCCTTTTCAAACCTTCTCGAACTGTCGTCTAGAATATTCTTGACGGGTAATGACATTTCCAGACATTTCTGGACTATTCCATTTTATTTTACTTGTACTTTTACTTATGAAGACCGCAGCACACTAAAGGGCGATGAGTAACATTCCACTTCTTTTTCTATCTGTACGTTTCCTATAATAGCCGCAAGCTACTGCAGGGTGCTGCGTAACAATAGTATCATGGTGTTAACCGACCTAAATTGTATTACAAAATATTGGCATAACTTCTCTAGGTAGCCATGTAATTTTAACCACTTCTCCATATTATTAGTTAAAACTTCTGTATTTCATTATTTTGTATGTAGTATTTTTAAATTTTTACTTCGCGATCTTATAAAATCCATTAAAGTCAGTGTCAGTCAGTTGTTAATATGTCAACGACTCCAAACGCCCCTTTTAGCGTTCGGTTTGGTCCGATTAGTGACAGTTCAACACGCTTAAATATCATTTAAAAGCACCCTAAAAAACTCCGCTTCTATCCCGTTTCAGAGCCTGGCCAAACCGAACGTATTCATAAATCATAATTTGTTGTATCATGACAAAACACTGTTCTGCACCTTCCGGCGAAAAGTGCCAAAGACACAGGATTCTCCACTGACAAAAATTCACCAGTCACAAGTCAACTGTCAACGCCAGGCGGGCAAATACTCCGCAAAATTTTACTATCCGCCAAATTCTTCGAACCTTCTCAAATTCTCCGAAAAGCGGAGAATTTTCCGCCCATTGGCAACACTGTTGAACGAACATTTAAATATGTGTCCTTGTTTTACGATGAAGAATGAAGAAGAACGCACTAAACGTAAACTATCGAAATGAGAATAGGGAGTGACTTTGACAGCTGACCCATGCTATTCGATGTGATGATCAGTGTTGCCAATTAGGCGCAAAAAGTGCAACTTTTGAGCTTTTTGTCTAAGTGTTGCGATTTTATTGCGCCCTCCACTTTTTGACGCTTTTTTGCGATTTTTACTTGCAAAGGCGACTGGTAATAACATTTTACATTTTTCCTT